ATAAAGATTATGATAGGGAGAGAAAATCACAAATTGGACTTCTTCCTGGACAGATAAAGCCAAATTATCAGTTAAATATACCCAATTTATCTTTTTAAAACAATATCACCCATACATTTTTTCTCACTCTTCTTTACCTGTACTTGTATATTTTTTGATTTGAGGGATCAATGCTTTCTTATGCAGTTCTGCTCTATACACTAGTGTCATCATTAACTCAATTTCTGAATATTTCCTATGTCACTTAAGGTGAAAGAATGGATTACTCAACATATCTTATAAGATGTCTGTGTATTTTTGAAATATCATTACTTTCTATTCATCTATACAAAAACTACAACTATTCAACATCAGGAGACTGTTTTTACAGAAATGTATCTATGATTTCCTCTAATGCAACATTCTCCACTGCAGAACATGTTTCCACTTCTCATTAACCAGAGAAAATTACATATTTATAAAACACATAAAATCTCTACTTTCATGCGAAATGCTACCACAGAAAGGATTTAAACTTGTCTCACGTAATTGCATTACAAGTACAGTATGATACTGACATAAACATGACTAGCTAATACAAATTGAAGACTTAATAGAGTTGCATGTAGAAACATATATATATATATAATATTAATTAATATAATACATGTCATTTTTATTTACATTGTTAGGTTTATTTCCTGACCATACAGTATAGTCACCACTGTGTTGTACTTGATTACCTAAAATCAGCTGTTAATATTTATATTTATTCATATCTTAGTTTGTTCTTAAGTTTTGTATTTTTCATATCTCTGTTGGCTGAGAATTAAACTGATCATGCTGGATATAAAGATATGATAGGGAGAGAAAATCACAAATTGGACTTCTTCCTGGACAGATAAAGCCAAATTATCAGTTAAATATACCCAATTTATCTTTTTAAAACAATATCACCCATACATTTTTTTTCTCACTCTTCTTTACCTGTACTTGTTATATTTTTTGATTTGAGGGATCAATGCTTTCTTATGCAGTTCTATGCTCTATACACTAGGTGTCATCATTAACTCAATTTCTGAATATTTCCTATGTCACTTAAGGTGAAAGAATGGATTACTCAACATACTCTATAAGATGTCTGTGTATTTTTGAAATATCATTACTTTCTATTCATCTATACAAAAACTACAACTATTCACACATCAGGAGACTGTTTTTACAGAAATGTATCTATTGATTTCCTCTAATGCAACATTCTCCACTGCAGAACATGTTTCCACTTCTCATTAACCAGAGAAAATTACATATTTATAAAACACATAAAATCTCTACTTTCATGCGAAATGCTACCACAGAAAGGATTTAAACTTGTCTACAGTAATTGCATTACACGTACAGTATGATACTGACATAAACATGACTAGCTAATACAAATTGAAGACTTAATAGAGTTGCATGTAGAGAACATAGTCTCGTCCTAACTTGTCCTAATGCTCTAATGATTAACAATGGCACGTTAGGATGCTTTCCAGCTTCAGGCAAGATGAAGACCAAACACAGGTGTTATGTTTTACTTCCCCTCCAGCCAGGTGCTTTGACAGAATACAAAGGTACATCCCACTCACCCTGTGTGTGCTTTGCCTATGTGTTTGTTTGACTCTCTCACCTAGCTGTGCCCACAGTGGGTTGTAGGGGTGTGTCTTTGCCAGCATGTCGACACTCTGGGAGGAGTGTTTCTCGAGGAAGATCTTTATTGGAGGCTGCCCATTGGGCATGACGGTGGGGACCCAGGCCAGATGATTGGTCAGGACGGCTGTCAATAAGGCGGGGAGGAATCTGGAATATCAGACACGGGTTGGTCAGAAGAAACCCAGAGAGTCCAAAAATTTACTTCCTAGCTGGCAGCTATCTATTAGAAATAACAGTTTCTCAGAGTTCCCCCCTGACCTTGCTCAGCTAGGTCAGATGTTCTCTTACTACACAGAAAACTTTGGCCAGACACACACACACACACACACGCACACACGCGCACACACACACGCACACACACGCGCACACACACGCGCACACACACACGCGCGCACACACACACACACACACACGCGCGCGCGCTGTGTTAGCATGACTCACTTCTCTTTCCTGACCACAAGTGTCTACTTCCCTTCCTGTCTCATGGCTCAACACTGTCATGGCAGTCAAGTTCAATCACGTGCTAGAACACAGTTGTGACTGCGGTAACCATCAAAACTATCAGTCATGGAAATGCTGATGCGATGCCTCGGGAAAGACACAATGCGATAGAGTAACCCCAGTGGTTGCCAGGGAAATGCGATGCTTAATTCAGGAGTCAGAAGTAGAAGTAGTTGCGTGGTAGTCATCCTGACCAATGGTGGGGGAAACAGTGACTTAATCTAAGAAGTGGTTCTGATAGAGAAACACCAATGGTTGCCTGGGAGACGCAGTTTCTATTAATGGTTGACATACAGAGAGCGTACAGGGATTTAGAGAACAAGAACAACCATAACGCTTTTTTTTTTTTTTTCAGATTTCCAAAGAGTGTAGGTGGAACTGTGGTATCTTTTAAACATGAATTTTCTGTTGCTCATGTTTGAATTTCCACCCTCTCAAGCCATGCTGATAGCCTATGTTAAGTCGCCTATGTTAAATACAGTTTCTGTATTTTTCAAGACAATTATTTGTTGCTAGTGGCAGAGACACAATAAAAACAGCAGCCATCCATCCATTATTTATCAAGCAAAATTAGCAAACTTCTCAAATATGAAACTTTTCTAACTTTTCTGTTTCACACTGACTTTGCAGGAATTAAAGTGGGATCACTTGATTTCTTTGGCAGATTCCAAAGTCCATCACTAACCATTCCTGTGCCTGAAATGGTTAGATCTAAATTAGGTACACATCTTACAGGTTAACACGTTTACTTTGAAGCCCTTTTTTCACCCTTCTTTATTTGCAGACATTTAAGTTTTGCTTTATGTTTGCCTAATTGTTAGGTTTCTGCCTTTGCTTTTTTTGTCCTGTTTACACAGGGTGCCCATGCCAAAGGAAACTGAACTGCTCTGGACCAGTTGCAGCTCTAGTATTTACAAATGCATGAAAGCTCCCAACATGCAGAATATACAGGTTTAATCTTTACTGTGTCAACCACTGATCATGATTAGGGAAATATATACTTTTTTTAGGCAATTTACTGCTGTCGTTTAAGATCAACTTGATGCAACAATTGAGTTCAGTGTGCTGAATGCTACTTAAATCAACTGTAGTGAATATGGGTGCTATGTTCAATAAAGGCCTTGCTACCAATTCATATATGTACAGCAGTGGTTTGACATGGCTTTGTAACAGCAACAATAAGTATTTAGAGACTGGCAGGGAGCCTCTCATTCACAGCTCCCTCTGAGGCAGACAAATAAAGTGTGTGTGTGTTTAAGTGTAAGAAAGGGAGAGACAGTCCAGAGAATGTGTGTATGTGGGAGAGAAAATGAATAGTGTGTGTGTGAATCTGCATGTGTTTCTTTGTAGTTAAGCCTGTCCAGGAAGTACAAGCCAACAAAAGATGTGGACAGACTATTCATGTGTAACATTTCTTAATGCCCGAGTACTAACTTGCATGTCTTTCCCTCTTTGTATCTGTGAGTTTGCTTGATGCCTGTCTGCTTTCTGTTTGCTCAAAATGGTAAAATAGTGGTGGGTTGATGTATCCATACAGCTGCTGAAAACCAGCATGCGATATGATATGTGTTTGAAAATGCATTTCATGCAGTTCCCTTGATTCCGGTGTAGGCAACTTCTTAAACTGGTGCAACATTTTTAAAAATTCAGTGTCTGATGGCAGACCAGGTGTGACTACAAGTAGACACTCAACTGGTTCTTGGAGGCCTGCTCCATCAGCAGGGAGAGCTCTCTCATGAATTGGCCGCAGAGCTGGTTCTTCTCTGATGCTCCAGACATCATAGTCAACCAGACAGGCTCAGCCACCCGAGGCATGGTGTAGAGGTCGCAGATGGTCATCCTGGAGATGAGGTACGGCAAGGGTGGGAGGGATGAAAGAAGGAGAGGGCATGGAGAGAGAGCGAATGAAAGGGAAAGAGGGGAAAAGGGAGAAAACAGACAGAGATAGAACAGGCACGTTATTGTCTCTCGGGGTAAACAAAAGAGATCTCAGTTCACAGAGCTTTGCTGTCTGCACTGAGGCCATGGGAGACCCTGGATGTGTGTGTGTGTCACTGACAGTCCGACAAACTGGTGTGTGTGTGTGTGCGCGCGCGCGCACACACACACACACACACACACACACACACACACACACGCCTCTTGTACTGTGTCTGTGTGTATAACTATCTGTATGTGGCTCGGCTTGGGCATTTGTCCATTGAGAAGGACTGGAGTTTCCATGGAACGTGGGGCGTGTTGGTGAGCATGTCTCGGCCAGGGGCCAAGCTTTGACACAGGGGCAGAGGGGAATCTCTGCAGCCTGAGGAATGTAGAGAATCAGGCGTTTTTTAGTCAGAGCTGAAATATGGACTGCAGCTGCTGGATTCTGGGTTTAAAAATGCAAAACAGTACAGAAAGTAAAAAGAAAAAAAAAAAAAAGAGGTGTCAGTTTTTTTTAATCAGATAATGAGGTGTTTTGTCTGCTAACTCTTACTCATTGCAAACATATAAACTGAATCCATATTACAACTACAATCTTCTGCAAACAAATCTAATACAGCAGCGTAGCCAGCCTAACTTAAAAGTAAAGTAACTGACTGCTATCATCGCAGGTGATCTGTCACAAGACTTCGTAGGTGCTGCTGATAAGAAACAAAAACTCTGTGCTGTTTTCGAAGCTTTATTTAGTTTGACTAGAAACTGCAGTGAGATCACAGGCTGCAAACAAGGTTAATTCTGCAGTAAACGTACAGTCTCTTTGACCTATAAAGAACCCAGTGACAAGGGAGATGCAGACAGGCTGCATGCTGAGAGAAAACACAGGTGTCACACAGTGAAAGTGGCCATTGCTTGGGCTCCAATGTTCCCGTGATCAAGCTATTTTACATTGGTGTATTTTGCTAAACAGGAACAGGAACACCATGTGTAGTCTTTGGGTTTACAAGAAGCTTTCAACTTGGTGTAAAAAGAAGAACTAGTGAATTCAACTGTATTGTAATACAGTTGTTGCAAGGAGTTCTTATTAGACTAGGCTATTTAGTGCTGTAACTCTAAACCTGTGCTCTCAAGATTATCAGTTAGGAGTGTAGTTCACTGTGGTGATCAATCTCCAGTTTGGTTAAATGTTTAATTTTAAATGATGGCCTGAGCCTAAAAAAAAAACTGTCTAACTTTCTCAGTCTCAGTCCAAGAAGTGAATCATTCAACAAGAACAAGTGCACCAGTGCATAGGAAAAAATGACAAGAAACGTAACTTTTACATTGAAAGATTGAGAGACCAAGACTGATCGAAGTCTTGGCAAGAATCATTTAATCACTGATGAATCATTAATAATCACAGTACTCGGTGGCCGTAACAGGAGCAAATCCAAATGGACTTGATGTCAACACATACAAAACATGTCTCCAACTCTCTTTACATATCACTGTCAGCAGAGCAGCAGGGATGATCCGTCATTTGGACAGCAGCATCAAATGACCTAATAGTGCTTTATTCATTCCTGTGTTATAAACGGGTTGACTTATCCGGGGCCTTGTTAAGCCCTACTTGACCCTGCTGTGGTGTAGATTCATCTACCAAAAGCCCCCAGTGGGCAGAGGTCTGAGGCCGAGCCAGTGCTAGATGAGTGGGAGATCTGGTCTCAGCCTTTCTGCAGCAGCTGTTCAGGTGAACTTTAAAGAGTGCGCCTGTGATGTGAAATTAAAATGGTGCGTCAGACTGAGGAGACAGATTTAACTTGCTTCACTATGGAGGGCATCAATTTGAACATTCCTGACCACATCTATAGCTTTTGGCTTTGTGATGTGTTGTTTTTTCATAAGCTAATTTAAAAGAGTCTAGTACACATGGCAAGTTATAGCTGCACAGTTATGGTCACTGAAATATTTTGGTTCCAATTACAAATCAACTGTTTCAGTTTGTTACATAAATTCATAGATTAACACATTCAAGCAAACAACACTAAACTTTCTGATTCAAAATGAAGGTTTTAGTATCACTGATTTACCACTCATAGTCAAATGTTTAGTATAAAACTGAAACTAAAAATGTGCAGGATTTTAAACTGCTGTTGAGGCACTGTCTTTTTTGCTTTAATTTCAGTTGATTTTATGCCGCTATAGACTTTAAACACAACGTTGGGCATGAATTTCAGCAACAACGCTGCAGGGGCCACTGTTTTTGATGGCTGCCATTTGGTGCATGCATCTGAAAAGATAAGTGCACTCTTGTATGTATGTGTGGTAAAATGGGATTTAGAAAACCCTGTTGTGTTAAGTGTTTTGCTTTGCACAGAACCCATGCCTGTAATCTAGCTGCAAAACCTAACATAACCCCAGTATAGGCTGGTGTGACTTTTATGTATACATGCCTCTGCCAAAAGGTGCAGCTTATCTTTACCAGCATGCATGGGTATGTGTGCGTGCCTTTCCTCCAACTACGTCAAAGCAGCATCAGCATTAAGCAAAGGCATTTCTTCCAGTTTCCTTCTGTAATGTTCCATGAAGTCAAAACCCCTTAATGGCAAAGGTGGCAACACTTATATTTAGCTGCTATCTGAAGGTGAGATTTTACAGATATTTTGTTTGTCCTGTGCAATAGCATTCCTCCTGCCGGCACTCGTATATTATTTACTATTCTGGTGCTCGTGGCCAGTGCCTGAGCTAGATAGGGTTGCCACTCAGGAGGCTTGGGTTGCTGTGGCTGGCTGCCAACAGGCATATGACTGCAGCAATGAGGGGACCTCAGACAGGGAACTGCCTGCCAGTGTGTGAGTGGCAAGTGAAAGTAGCAGCGGAGAAAGGCATGTATGCACACACACATTAAATAAGTTTGTGTGTTTTGAGTGTGTGAGAACCAAATAGTCCTACAGAAATGACAAGCACGTCTCTCTCTCTCTCTCTCTCTCACACACACGCACGCACGCACACGCACACACACACACACACATACATACACACACACACACACACACACACACACACACACAGTTGTGCAGAGTTAACTGGCAGCTTCTAAAACTATGGTCAATGAGATTGCCTAAACACAAGCAAAGCCCTAGAGCAAGACCTCCCAGCATGCACTGGAGTTGCAATGCAACATGGTTTGCTCAAGACAGGTAGGGAACAATATGTTCCTCCTTTCTTTTACCCAACATATTTCAACATGTCTTACTTGGCTTAGTATGCATGTAATCAATTATTTTTTATACTCACAAAGAAATGAACATATGAGGAAGGGCAGATAATGTTAGCATCACACTATCCTCAGATCAACCAATTAATTATTGATTGCTGCGACACCTCAGCACACAGCTTCAGTAACTAGAGCAGAATAACAGAATCCCATCAGCTCACCTCTGTCACCTTCAGATCCCATAAATTCACCTTGTTACACACACATTAAACGCTCGCTGACAGTTACCACGTAGTCTTTTCTAACAGTCCAGCAACAAAAAGTCAACAAGAAGCTTTTAATCCATTTTTTTAAACAAAAAAACATTTTTTTTGGAGTAATGCATTAACAAAATGTGACCATTGACCAGTGAACATAATCATGTTTTCTTGTAATCCACATTGATAAATGAGATGCTTCTTTTGTCTGCAAGCCACAGAAGCTGATAAATGTCAGATGTTACCAGCAAGTTTACTGTCTACTTCTCTGACAACTGACCAGCTTGACAAAGTACGCTTGGAATGAAAGACGTGTAAAATAGTTCTCAGGTCATTAAAGCTGTTATTATTATTAAAGCAAATGTTAGTGTCGTTACATAAGTAACACAGGATAAGTATGGGCACCTAGTGACCTACTTTAAGGAATATTACACTTTGCTACTACTGTCTAAGAATAAGCCCTGGTGTGTTAGACAGTCTCAGTCTGCTGGATCCCACTGTATGTTTAGAACTTTATTTAAGGAGTTCAAATGGGACATCTGTTTGTTTTTTATGAAAGTTGCAAAATTTTTTATCAAAGTTACAATTCTGACAAACACTAGTTTGGAAAAAGTAAAAAACAATATATAAAAAGAAATTCTAAAATTATTTGGAAGGTATGACACTAGTCTTTCCTCTATCTTTCCTCTCAGTGTGTGATAAGCTTAGTGTCATGCCTATTTTTTGCCCTTCATTCTCCAGTACAGGTCCTTTACCTCCCTTTTTCTTTCCATCACACCTGCCTTTCCAGCACCTTATCCTGCCCAGGTTCCCTCACTATCAAGAAACAAAATCTTGTCTACCACACAATTTTCCAGTGTCTCACTGTCTGTAATGAGGACTGATATCAACACAATGAATGATACACGTTGCAGAGCACAGTCTTGTGTCAGATTACATGGTAATACCAGATATGTCTATTAAGTGTAACGTCTGTTTCCTGGAAACAGATTTTAAATGTCACATTTTTCCAGAGCCTTCCATAATGTGGAGACCTTGCTATGTTCCCAAGGAGTGAATGAGTGTTTGGCTACAGTACATACAAAGTGAATGAAACCTAGATGTTTGCTTTGGTGAAATGCCAGTGAGATTTTGTTAATAAACATACAGTAAAAAGACAGTGAACATTTTGCCTTAAGAAAACTGTGAGTGATTTGTGTTTTTATGCTATATAAAACATACTGTTGTAATTTGTGCTATATTGCTGAATGATTGTGTTTAATCACAGTTATACAATTATAAAGTTATATTAAGTATTAAAAGTAGAAATTAAATTATGCAAATAATGTAAGATTATTGTCATGTCAATGCAAATTGTTGCCCAACCTGAACTCGTTGAGCCCATCCACCATTCGGCTGTAGGCCAAGGCCCTCTGGCTGGCATCAGCTGACCGCCGACTCATCTTCATGGCCTTGAGAGTGACACAACACACACACGCTTTGAGATATTTGGCACTGAAGCTGACAAACAAAGTTAGAGGAAAGGTGGAGCAAGGAATTTGTGAGGGAGAAGACACGGCGGGGGGCAAAAGGGATGGTGGGGGGTAAACCTGGAAGTCATCCAGAGCTTTGACAGTGCCAACTACAGACACCAGTAAACAGAACCCGCAGCTATACCAGGCTGACAGATTGACCAGTCAATCTGACAGCAACTCTGATCATTACAAAGGGTAGCAAAGGGTGTAAAGTTTGCATTTGGGTTCTGTACATATCTCACTGTCAAAAAGACAGGCTTATCTCCACAAACCTTGGAACATTGATTTTAGAGTAGGTAAAAATATTATATGTTGACATCAGTAAAAGAAACACAAAAGAGAAAACAGAAGGTACAACATGCAGTTAGCCAATAATTGCAGCCGTACACATTAATTCACCTGTTCGATGGCGCTCTTGAGTTTGTTCATGTGGCTTTCAAAGAGAGGGAAGTGGGAGAAAAAGAAATCCTGGAAGCGGTTGTTCTCCTCAGGATTGGGGGACAGCATGAAGATGACCCCAATGGCGATCTTCTTCTTCCGAGCTACGCCAAGGCTCGGTCCTGCGCTTTCGTCAGACATGTTGAAGCTCTCCTCCACTGACCTGATCAGGACAGGGCACACAGGGGGTTAACTTCAGAGCAGAGACAGATCCGATACAACTTCGATACAACTTCTGCAGGCTTAAGCGTGTGTGTAACTTCTGAACATTTACTTGACATAGAAATCTAGATCTTGTACTTTTCTTAGAACAAACCTATTTTACCATGAAAATCAATAAAGTTCTCACCTACCACATTACTCCACATAACAACTAGTTAGAATACTGTTAAGGGGCTCCTTTGCTATGTATCTTTCACTTTTGTGCACTTTGGCTAGAGGTAAATACCGTTAATTACAACCAGTAAATATGATCCGACATATAGGATCCACATTTTTGCCGGTAAAAACAGCTGAAATACTTGAACACACATATTAAGCAAAGAAAACATGTAACGAGACTCTTAATCCAAGACTTTTTTTTCACTATTGCAGCTGGTAAACAAGCTGAACTGGAGCACCTGGAAGATTAGAGCACTCAGAGGCTGACAGCTGCGTTTACAGTGACAGGCCAACACGGCATCCCGTCTAGCCAAAGCACGGTGTGTGGGTGTGGGTGTGTGTGTGGGATAGAGCGTGTGTTATTAGCACATAACAGCAGCGTGTGTCATTTTCCCAGCTGCCTGTTGGATTCTGAGGAAGTCCTAACAGGATAAACTACAAAAGCCTGATAGGAGCCCTAAATAGGAAAGAAACATGGATGGGGATAAATGACTGGGTAGTATGTGTTCTTTGTCAGTCCACATATCAATTAGTCGACTGACAGAAAATTAATCAGCAAAACAATTATCAAATAATCAACTATTTTGATAATCAATTAATTGCTTAAGTCATTTTCAAACAAAAATGCCACAAATTCAGTTTTTAATTGTCAGGATTTTCTGGTTGTCTTTGTTGTGTCAGTTTAAAGTGTTATAAACGGACACAACAACATTGTAAATTGTCCTGGGGTTTTGAGGCACTTAGACAAAATGAAACCTCAAATAACCAAATTGTGGTGGGAATTAATCACTATTTTCTAACAACAATCAAATGAATCACTCATGACAAAAAATCATTAGCTGAAGCTCTTGTGTGTTTGTGCTCTTGCTCGTTTGTGTGTCAGTCAAAGAAATGTGTCTCTCTGTATTAAAAAGCATGTGTAATAACTTTCTTTCTATTGCAACCTTGTGCAATTTTTCTTTCTATTTGAGTGCATGTTGATCTATGTAAAATGTTTTCGCACAATTGTGTGTACATGTATGATTGTATTTGTCTCACCATCGGGGGAAAACACCATTCTCCAGACTGGTGGTTTGGCTGCGGAGCCATCGGCGCTGGTAGCTGGACGCACAGCTGCTGGTCAAGGAGGAGCCAGGGGATGGGAAGGGAGTGATCAACAGGCTGCTCAGAGAAGCTAAAGGGACAGGCGAAGGGATAGAGAGAAGGAGAAGAGAGACGAGTAGAGAGAACAGTTAAAGAAATCAAGAGAGCAGGAGGAGAGGGAGAACAGAAAGGAACAGGGAACAGATGGAGGGAGTGGTGAGTGACAGAAGAGAAAAGGACAAGAGTGAGTCAGACAACAAGTGCGTAGGGTTATTCATTCTGAACGATACCTCATATATACACACACACACACACACAATAACACACAGAACTAGACAGAGATCTAGAGGACAATAACTGTTCTTAGTAAGACAAAGAAAAGAACTTGAAAATGGCCAAACAAATACAGCACACAAAACACAAAGATGCACACACACACAACACCCCCCCCCCCCAACACACACCGCTCTTTCCTCTTTTCCCCGAACACAGCCCCTAATTACTGGATACCTTTCATATGACATCTAATATCAGCTAGTGTGCTAACAGTCACATGCTGCAGTTATTGGACAACCTGGCTTTACACCAGGCTGGCATGGTAATGACCACACACACACACACACACACACACACACATATTTACAGCCCAGGCATACTCTGATCAATAGTCACATAAACCATTTAGACAGTGTGTAATCTTGTGTGTACGTGCTTGCGTGTGTACAAAGAGATAAAGAGAGATAACTTCATGGAGTGAGTGAATGAGTGAGTGCGTGTGTGAAAACTGTGCTAGAGGGTTGAAGACTTAGCAAGAGAACTGTAATAAAAGGAGGGGGAGGTAGGCGGGAAGAGATTGTGTGTTACAGAAGGACATGTACATTTGTGTGCGTGTGTGTGTGTGTGTGTGTGTGTGTGTCAGAGTTAGATAAAGAGCTCTCCAGCCCAACTGCAAAGGGGAGGTGGAGAGAGTGGAGATGAGAGGTCGAGGCTTGAATTAGAAGCTCATTTAAAAGTAACAGGTTTTTTAAAGCTGCTATATTTAACTCTCTGCATGTGACCCTTCTTTGAGCAGAAAGCACAATTCCCCTCGTACCAGTCATGCCAGTCGGGTATGGTGGTGTTTGTAGAGGGGGGTCAGGAACAGAAGGGGGGGGTGGGGTCAGTTTCCATTGCACAAAGTATTCCAGACCCTGCAGGCCGTGTAAAGACGTCCACACCGTCTTCCTCCCCTGCATCATCTTCTGCCTTCTCTGGTTTTAGGTTAAAATACTGAAGGATTGCCAGTAGAGAGAGAATTGTTGTCTCTCTTACCCTACATTTCCCACCCTTCTCTCTCTTTCCATACACATCCCATTCAGCCACGAGTGGGTGCACCTGTGGGTAATTTTTAATGAATGGAAAACTGTATGCATGTTGATCTGCGTCTGCATGCCACACTAGTGAAGTAGCAGCTTAAGCACCACCGGTTAACTTAACAGTGCTTACGTAAATGTTCATGCTCTTGACCTTGAACAGTCAAGTTACAGTGGGTCAACCACTTTCAGGCAGGAAGAGCAAGAGCTTGAAAAACTAAACTCATCAGCTGCATCATTCATGTTTTGGGGAATTCCAGATGATGAGAACCAGAGTTCATTTGTGGGAACATACAATGTGTCTTAGGTGAAGACAAGATGGCACAAACTTTGTGAAGTGTATTAGTCCAATAATTTCCTTGTTTACACTTGATCTTCTCTGTTCCTTGACCTCTTTGATCTTGACAAGAATAAATGTAAACCCAATTCAAAAGCTCAGCCGTATGACTGAAAGTGGTGTTGAGTGTAGGTCAATCCAGGCTTTGGCTCCAAGTCTTATTAACCTACCTGACCTGGCGATGCCACTGTCCCTCTCGTCGTAGAGCCCTCGGCCAGGCATGTCCATGGGGTGACTGTGGCCTGAAAGAAGGAAGGAGGAGAGAGAGGATGAAGGGTCGGGTTAAAGGTAAAGGAAAGAGGTTAAGAAAGAGGGCAGCGGGAGATAAAGGTCAAAGACAGATGGGGGACAGAGAGAGAGAAAAGAGATAGAGGAAAGGGGAAAAGACGAGGTTAAGTGGGGAGAAAGGGAAATGAGTGGATGATCAAAAAAGAGACAAAAAAAAAAAAACACAACCTGTGAGAAACCGACCAATGTTGTCACTAATATGGAGCACCAGACATGCTGGGGATGCTCCGCTCACCACAAGCACAAACGCATCCAAAGGATAATGTTTTTGGATGCTTTACATCATCAGCATCATGTCTGGCTGAGCTATAAGTATAGCAATGTCCCCAAAAAGTTACTATTATGGGAAAACTGTATGGTTTTTCTTGATACTGCTTGGCAAGTGACTGCATCATTATGTGCAAGTGTTCACAAAGTACATGTAGTAGAGGTAAGGTTGAAAATGTTTTAAATGGCTGTTTAATGTCTTAGTAACAACTAAAATACCAAAAAAATAAAAGACTCAATCTAAAAAACAACTGTAACACCATTAGATTACAAACCAACACAAATTCTACATGTGAGGTCACCACAATAAAGGCTCCAAACACAAGCTGGTGCTGGACTCATTTCTACTGTGAAATGGCTGTTACTGATTGATTCTCATGCTGTTAGTGCACCCTTTGTTTTGTAATACCAGAAACAGGAAGTGTCACAAGAAAAGCAAATAAGACAAAAACCATGATGGCTGTATAGGCTGTTGCTCAGCAACATCTGTGATAACACTTTCTACATCAAGCACTGTAGCAATGGACGTCAATGAGCGTGTGTGATTGTTCTCAAATGTCCTGCTCGTCAACACTTTGGGGTAAAATGGGAAAAATGTCAATGATTCTCACAGCAAAGGTGTGAAAGCCACAAATGGAGCATTTGATTGTGCTGTTGAAAGCATAGTTCTGGTTGAGATGATTAATGGGCAAGTCAACATGACTTTTTTGGCAAAGCAATCTGAGTGTTTGTGTGTGTATGTGCACTCCTGTAGCACACTGTGCTTTATGACCAAACCAACATTGCATAAATGACAGCGCTACATGCCATGCCAACCTAAGGGTGCCCTAAACAGAATTGTGGGTAGGCAGCATGGCGCAGGGAGCGGCTCTTTTTTTATAAAACTCACCACCACTTTACTACAGCAAAGGCAGATGTTTTACCCCAGTGAAAGAGAGGGAGGAATAACCACTGAATACTTCTGGCAATGGAGCTCGCTGATCAGCATGGATATATATCATTCTACTGTTGCACTCAAAGTTGGAGTGTCAGTGAAAATAAAGTAAGTATTTGCTTTAAAGACTTTGTGTTATCATCTGGTTTGCCTAGTAAATACACAAAGAGGGACAAGCAGAATAAGTACTTATTCTACTTGCTAGAAAACACCAAGCTGATCAAAGAGCTCATTGGCAGAGAATTCAGTCCATTTCTTAACAGTGATGATACATGGGCAAGGTTTAAAACAATATTACCAATAAGTTATGCATATTATCGGTATGAAGACAAATACTGATATAATATGGGTCCTATTCTATAACGAACAGGTACCCCTATTTTAAGCAGGTTTCACAGTCACTGGCAGGGATCGATGAGGCGATCTTACAATGCACATTTTAGGAAGTTATACCTGGACAGTCTGAGAAAAGTTCAGCAGGGAAATAAGTATCTTTTTTTATATATTTTCTTATACTGCCAAGGTGCCCTTCAACCAGGCATTTTACCACCAGCCGCTCAGATGGAGCTGCTCGGTGGCCAGCAACTCTCAGTGAGAGACTGTAAAACTGTATGAATGTGGACAAGGATGCTCCATGCATGCTGAGGCAATTTTCACTGGATCATTAAAGGTTTATAACAAAGAAAAAATAAGGCTTAAACTTTCAAAAAAAAAATCATTAAATAGCATATTGGCAAAATTCTATGAATGCTGTCATACTGTAGTTGATATTTAAAAAAAAAAAAAAAAAAGCATTAAGCCTTAATGTGCCCAAGTATTGCCCAAGTATCACAGACACTGTCAAAGACAACAAGTTAGTGAAAGGATGAGAGTGCAAAAACCACAACTAGAACTACAGCCACCGACACCAGTCAGCACTCATGCACACCATTTCTGCGTGCGTGACATACCTCCAGGCCTGGGTCAGATAGTTCTGTATATTTAATGATTTATTTGACATTGTCTTATTTGACACAGCCATTAGCAAAACAAAGGAAATTTGAAGCCACATATATTCCCCTGCCTGATTTACTTGATAGCAGTTTGTCTACTTTAGGTTCACTGCAAATTTTGAGAAGCATTTGGAAATATAAGACACATGTAACTTAAAGGTGGGGGGTGTCTTAGAATAGGCCAGGGACTACATTTTCACAGTTATTTGGTGCCACCTGGATTTGAATCCAAATGCTCTCACATGCCCAAAAAGATTATATTAAGGGAAGACATTATCCTGGTTTTGGAGAACATGCCAAACATTATTTCTGCAGCTACTATCTGACCCAAGTTATTTGCAGACATGCTGTGACATTGCATGCTGTGACTACTGCTACCACTTCTAGTGCAAAAATCACCATACAGGCATGCAGTCGCTGAGAGTCAAGGCCTGTTCAGCCACTACCACTGCAACTACAGCCAACACACATGCATGCAACTGGCACGTCAGTCATGGCCAGTTTTAAGCGCCAACCTGAAAAGAAAGACGCGCTCTTGATGAGGCGCAGAGGGCCCTGTTCAGAGAAGGCCCGGCGAGGGCTGCAGAGCTGAGAAAATCCTGCGCAGCACAAACAGAAACATGGAAAAGAAGAAAGGAAGAGGGCAAAAAGACAAAAAACATGAACCATGGTTAGTGAATGAGTAAGGAGGAAAACTGGCAACCTCCTGTTGTCCAGCCATCTTGTAGTAAACAACTGAGTTACAGGAGCTTTTTAGTCTGGAATGAAATAATGCCCATCATTTGGTAGGTCAGTCAGAGAGACAAACAGGGAGGCTGGTATCACTCACAGAAAAAAACAGATAACAAAACAAATAAACGGTGATGGGCTATAGATCTGATGTGCAAAAGCAGATAATTTTTGTCTTTTCTGTGAGGATGAGAGAGAAAATGCACAGAAAGGATAGAATTTGCCAACAGTTCTTAATATTTGTCTTTTTCTAGCAGTAAGGGAGAGCTGTTGGCAGTCTTTCCAGTCTGGTTTGTAATCAAACAGGAATGTTAAAAAGTAGGAAAGTGAAAAACAAAACCTGCTGCTTCCGAAAAGTTCTACAAAGGCATTTCAACCGTGAAATAAACTAAACACAGGGCAAAATTCAAGTTGCACTTGGCCTTAAGCTGTAAATAGTAACAATGTTTCATACAGTCAAGTATTCCATTACACTTGTGTTATTCTCAAAGGGAGAGATAAACACTGATAGTTACTGAGACAATATTAGAAACTGAATCAGATTTCCATTAAATTACATAAAAGTAATCCTAATAAAATTATCTTGATATGTATTAATACATGCTCGACAAATCCTTTCAATTTTAAAGTAACTACATTGAGTGTCTAGTTGTAATCAAAAGGAAAACAAATAGATTCATCCACTTTCTAATTACAATTCAGAAGTGAATTTAAAGGAAACAGGATGATTGGTGGCTAAAGGTTTGGTGTGGCACTGGGTTGCTAATGGTTACCTATGTTCCCTAGGAGACTGTTGGGCCCTGTGTTTTGATCAGGCCTTAGGGTGTTGCTGTCCTGTCCTATGAACTCCAGGCTGTCCTGTAACCTGCACGAGATGAATCAGAAAAGGAATAAGAGTTAGTTTATGTGGATGATTTTATAACATGTATCTACCACACAATTGTGCTGTACATACGCATAAACGATATGAACATATGAGAAAAAACTGCTGATTTATAGAAGAAGCTGCCATAGGATATGTGTGTGTGTGTGTGTGTGTGTGTGTGTGTGTGTGTGTGTGTGTGTGTGTGTGTGCTTACGTGTTGAGGCTGCCATACACACTGCCTCCAGTCCTGGCAGTGAAAACCTTACTCAGCATCAGCTGAGGTGGCGATCTGATATGATAATACCAAAGGGACAAAGATCATCAGCACGTGTGCTCAGTTCATGTGCCTGTGCATCTTTCACATCCAATCTCATTTGTCTCTACTGCTACCACATCAATTCACAACTTCTCCTTTTCTTCCTGATTCCTCCTGTCTGTGCTTCTTTCCTTACTTTCATTGTTCAGTAATAAGAATCGAAAGTAGCACCTGATACTGGAATAACCCACATTAAAAAAAAAAAAAATCCAACAATCCAGTACTAAAAGCTGTGCAAAATGTCAAAGCAAATCTGAAAAGCTCCATGGTCAGAGGCTGATTTTTATTTTATGTGATCATCAGTAGTGAGAAGAAAAGCCAGCATCCCTGTTCTTCTTACCTGATCTGGTGGATTTTTAGCGTGGAGCCTTTGTAGCTCATGGCCACAGAGCCAAACATCATCTCCCCCAACATCACCACATCGGACGAACACCTCGAACCCTGTAAAAGAGATAAGAGATATGCAAGTGTCCTGTGTGTATACCTGCTTATGCGGCTGTGAATGCAGGGGTACACATATACATATAACTGCAGAGCATTTTTGCATGCATGTCTATGTGTTACCTGGAAGCGGAGACCCTGCTCCTTGGTTTCCTTGGTTTCGGAGGTGCAAGAGGAGGAGCTGTCCAGGGAACTGCTGCTGCCACCTGTAGGACGGAGCTGGCAGCATTTCCCGAACATCTTCACCTGGCCCTCGGTGCTCTGTGAGGTGAGAATCAAAAAATACATAATAAGCCAAAGACTAGGAACACAGACTCATTTAACTCTGCAGGTGGTTGACAAAAATGGTCTTTTTACAAAGTACATTCAGCATCAATGGATAAACCTTTCAAGCTGCTTCTTGGTTGGTATTAATCTCTAACCCTTGTAAATAATAATGGACTAAACAACAAAATAATAAGAATGTGCAACAATTAATGCAACAAAAATGAGCTGGAGCCCTTAGCTATTTTGTGCACATTGACATGATATCACAAAGACAGATGCAGACAAATATTTATTCAGCCCATTTATGTGGGAACACCCCACACACATGGCTGCGAACATAAACCTTTTGTCTAATTTCACCCTGATGCTCTAACATTTTAACCAGTCCCAGAAAAAAGTAATTGGTCCATACAAAGTAAGCTTCTAAATGGAAAAACACAAACTGAATTGAACTGTTCAAGACCAAAAACCATAGAAGCCTAATCTAGAGGCACTTGTGTAAACAGCAAACTAAAATGTGAGCTCAATTGGCCTGTGTCATGTGCCTTCTTAACTTGGCAGCCTATTGAAGAGGAATGCATTTGGGAGGGTGGGAGGGGGAGGGTGTGCTTTTTAGCTGGGCTCTGGTAATGGCTCACTTGAAGCCACTGTTGATGATAATGTTAAGAGAAGGGAAGGAAGAGAGAGAGAGAGAGAGAGAGAGAGAGAGAGAGAGAGAGAGAGAGAGAGAGAGAGAGAGAGAGAGAGAAAAATTAGGGGGGGGGCAAAGAAAAACAGACTGAGATGAGGAGGGATGGAAAACAGGAAGCGAGGAAGAAAGATCATTATTGTTGCTTCATTCTGCTCTTTTAAAAGTACATTTGTTAACATGTTATAGACATGTGCAACTTGCTGTGTATTTTCAGTTCTCTCTCATTAAGATCATTTTTGTAATACACACACGAGCGCTAATGAAGCAACTCTGTCTCCGAGCGAGCGTGTGTTTGAGTGTGTAGATGGGTGTGTGTCCGCTGCAGTGCAGTGTGAAGTATGTGTACAGAGGCCAGCAGCATGTGACTGCCAGTCATATGACTCTTTTGGGAACTCGTGAGCGAGCAGCACTGCAATCATTGCCTCCCGCCCGCCCGCCTGCCTGCCCTCCCTCCCTTCCTCTCTCTCTTCCTCTCTCCCCCTCCCTCCACTACTCCAACTTCATCCCTCTCCAATTCCTGCAGCTTTCTTTCTCTCCTTTAGTGTGTCTATTTTTTTTCTTGATCAGATTCATGTCCTTCTCTAGCTCCCCTTCCCTACATTTTATTCTTTCTGAGTCTTCTCCCTCCCTTTTTTCTTTTCTTCATTCACAACTCTCACCCATCCCACCTCTACATGATCCTTGACTCTCTATTCCTCATTCTTCTCTTTGACACCCATGGCCTTTGCTCGTTTCTGCTGTAGATCGCGTAAAATAAATTCCTCTGAGTTGACAAAAAAGTAAACAAACATACAAAAAAAGCACAGCAACCATGTGATAGAAGTCACACAGTAGCTGGCAAAGCCCTAACATTGCAGAATGCACCAAAAAATATTGACACTGGACTAGGGAACACACTCTCTCTCACACACACACACACACACACGTACACACACACACACTGCAGTAACTCCTCTTACTGCATTTTTTAAGAGCTCACTTCAAACAAGTGTCGCTGTGTAAGACACGCACACACTGCATAACTCTTCCTATTGCAATTCTATATCTGGCACCAGACCTATCCAAAAGTAGTGCTTAGCTAAATCCACATGTAAGAGTTGAGAAAGTTGAGCAAACAGCCCATCCTATTTCCAATGTCAGGGTCACATACAGTAGATCAGAAGGAGGTTGGCATGTATATGTAGGCAGACTGAAAGGTAGGCAGGTAAAGAGAAAAAAAGAGAGAGATTTATAAAAGATTACAGAGATAATGTAGGAAGAGACCAAGATCACCAGAAGAATGTATAGAGGCAGAGGACAGTGATCAGGACATTAAAGAGAGACATATTTAGTAGAGAAAGAAAGACATCAGGGTTAGAGGGAAGCAGACAGCAGAAGACAGCAGATTTAGAAAAGGTATATACAGAATGAGAGGAAAGTTTTGAGAGGGTGAGACCATACCAGAGATAGACGAAGACAGATGAGAGAGAAAGAAAGACAGACAGCGAGTGACACGGCTGTCATGTGAGGATGAAAGAATGCTGCTTACACATGGGCTGTCAGCTGAGGCTATTATTATTGGAGATAAGAGCACCAGAACAAACCGGTCAGGGTTAGACAGGAACACACAGCAGCGCTGTGAAAATATGAGGCATGTTACTCAAAATTAAAAAGAGAGAGAAAAAAAAAAAAGAGAGGTGACCGTGTGTCACTGCTTGATGGAACTTTCAGCTAGCAGGTGCTGTATGGGAGAGGCCATACACACATGACTGGTAGTCAAAACATATAATTCACATGTTTGAGGACTATTGTTGTACACACCCTGATCAGACTCCATTGCTGTAGTAAAACAGTTTTTATCAGCATATCTCACTGGCTGAAATGGGTGTGTTTACAATTTGCCACTGCTGCTGAAAAGATCTGAGTCTCACAATCTGAGGCACATAATAACACACAATACAAATTAATTACCTGTTTGACATACTGTCAGAGTTTTAGGGTCATATCTGCCTTCAGGATTGCCTTGCCCTGGAAAATTGATCATATGACTTTTTGGCACCCATTGAGTCAAAAGGAAACCGCACCTTTTGTTTTAGAAACTGCACACACAAAATTCTTAAAACAAGACTAGAGATATTTACCTCATACAACCAGTGAGTAATCCAATTTGATTTCTTTTTTTAAAAGTTGAATAAAATTGCCAATATTTGTGGCCTTCTGTAATTCAGTAATAACCCCTAAATAAAATAAGGAAATAAATGACTAAATAAAAGTCTAATAAAAACCAAACTGCCAAACAAGACACATTCCCTGCCTTCCACTTCTGATGCCTTGGTCAGACACTGTTCACTATGGGGCAGTGAGGCATCCTGCAGTATAAGCAAGATAAGGTGCAACTTGTGTCCTCTGAACATCATGGCAATTACATGACTTCTGTTGGATGTCAAGCATCTCTGTCTGTCCCCCTCCTCTTATCTTTGCTCATCTATTCTGACTGTCTGTGAGCTTTGAAAGTCAAAGTGTCTACAGATTAAGACTGAACTGAACAAAAAATACACAACGATACCTGTAATAAAGACAAAATATAATAAATAAGCACAACAGGAGAGGGGAAAACAGGAAAGTAAAATGTTCAGCAATGTGCAATTTAACCATGTTCTGCAATGCATTTCCACATCTTACTTCCTTTTAAGGAAACCTTTTAACAGACTTTTAAATAGGACCTGCAGCTATACCACTGTATCAGCTGACACTTGGAACAACAACAACACACACACACACACACACACACACACACACACACACACACACACACACACACACACACACAAAACAGACATGTGACTCACAGTGATGGGGGTTTCCTCGGTGCCCCTCTTTTTGGCATTGGAGTCGAAGAGGACATTTCTGCCGCGCCTCTCACAGTCCTGGTACACGATCAGCCTGATCTGACTGGGCTCCAGCTGGGGAAGTGGCCAGCTAGATGGAGGGAAGAATAGACCGGCAGAGAAAAAAGGCAAAGAGTGAAGATAGAAAAAGCAAAGTGATGTAGAAAAAGACAGATTTGGGACAGGAGGATGGAAAGTGTGAGAGAAAATAATGCAATTAGTACAAATAATCTTATAAAGCAGCAGAGATCAGTGAGATGAAACTGAGAGAATAGGAAAAGAAACATCTCACATATTCTTTAAACATCTTTCAGTGTTTCTTCCAGGGAGTTTGCACATTAGAGACAATGAGGTCATGCTCCAGTAACAAAACACTTCCCAAAACAATCTGCTGCAGCAGATTGAACGTAGCAGTGGAGCAACAATACAACTATGTCCGTTGTAATACAAATTCTGAGCGCCACTCTGCCCATTTATCAAACTGTCTACGATGCCAGGGGTCAGCATGCCTACGTTCCCACCTTTGCCTGTCACCCAGCTTCCATTGCACCCAACTGCAATCCCCATCCCTGCAGGTGGTGGGCCCAAAGGGCAGCATTCCATGTAATTTCTTCAGGCTGTGCCTGAACAGGCTCTATGGATCGAGGCCTGACCACCAGACACTCTCTGGAAAACTCCCCTCCCAGGTTGGACTCCTGGGGAGGGTCAAACCTCCATAATCCAGTCAAGATAGTGCAGGTTTGAGCCTTCCGTTTTATTACAGTCCTTAAAGCACCTCCCAGTCTGAGGCCATAGTGCTCTGCTGGAAAACGGTGGATTGCTCCCTCAGGGTTTGAGTGAGTTGCTGCCACAAATGAGGGAGTTTATGTATCTCAGGGGTCTTATTCACAAATGAGGGTAAAATGGAGCATGAGATTGACAGGCAGATTGGTGCAGCATCAACAGTAATGTAGGCTTTGTATGATGGACTTTTCTAGTGAAGAGCTGAGCCAGAAAGCAAAGCTTTTGATTTACCTGTTGATCTATGGTCAAACCCTCAGCTATGATCATAAGATTTGGGTAGTAACCGAAGCAGTCAGAATGAGTTTCGTGCGCAGAGTAGGTGGGCTCACCCTCAGAGATAGGGTAAGGAGCTCAGAGTGGAGCTGCTGGTCCATCATGTCAAAGGTCTACAAGGTTTGTTTGGCTGGGGTAGGGTCTCAATCAAACTGTAATTATTCAATGAACCCTATGATTTGTTAAATTCAAATTATAATAAAGAACTGTCTATATTAAAACTACTTGTGATTAGGGACATTTTTTCTCTGATATTTTATCTTAATAACTGATTTTGTTGTGATGATCATTCGAGCCACATTGCATTCAATGATAATAATGATCATATTATTAATAACTATTATTTTTATATATTAATAATAATATCCAGTATCTGAATGATATATACCAGATACCCATATGAGTAGAAAACTAACAATAAGCAGGAGGGATGACGTACTTGCAAGCTTGTATATAAACTCTCTTTAAGCTGTCATCCATTCTGGGCAACAGACCATGCCACAGCTGCCATTCATCCACTTCATACCTCAACCAGTGGGGAGTTACAAAGATATGCCTCAACAACCTAATACCCACCTACCACCACAGATTTACAGTGTACCCAGATAACATATAGCTTGAGTTCATCCGTGATAGCTAAGAAATTGACTGGATAAGTTTTCATCCAATGCTGTAATTGTAGAGTGAAGTGTGACTATATCATGTCCCAACTGAAACTGTTCTCAAACAAAGGAGTTTTAATCAACTGTCATATGATTTCTAACTGTTGATTAGTAATTGAAATCGAAATATCTGTCAAATTGTTTTCGTGGAAGCAGATATCTTAAGACTGATTGATTTGCGTCATTTGTGAAATGGTAACAGGTATAACCATGTCTATTCATTCAGTAATGACTAATACCCCATTTCTTACACAACCACATATTTCTTACCTAATCATGACTCCATTAGTCAAAAGAAAAAAAGCTGCACATGCACTTAATGCAACTTGATTTGAGTCATTACACAATAATGGGTAAGATTTACACCAATTTTGAAGATTTGGGATACTATTAGATTATTATATTATCACATCTTAAACTGTTATAGACTTTCATAGTGGTACATTTTCTCTGGCAGGAAACACTTGATGACAGTTAAGTAACAGTTAAGCTGTTTTCACAGGCTGCCTCAGCTCCATGCCTGTTGCTAGGTAACCTGTGGTTTCATATAGCTCATCTCATTAAAGCTGTTCATCTCAAGTAATATTGTGAATGAAGTGGTTGCAAATCTACACCTGCATCCACAGAATGATCTGGCTGTGCAGCAGTCACTGTGGGTACTAGCAGGCTGTCACAGGACTCCGGCAGTCCCCTCTGCGTTCGACGAAACTCAGTCCCCTGGTTGATTTAGTAGGGGCTATAAAGATGACAGGGGATTGGACCAACAGACAGACAGTTAAGGATTTCTGTCTGGAACTGATGGATAGGGGGTTCAGGCAGATGGACACATTGCTGGACCTAAATATAGCCTTTTATTGGGGAGCAGGGAGCATCCCTAAACGCAATAACACTGTATAGCAAATAGGTTGGCTGGAAAGGGTGAAAAAGTAACAGTTAAGTCCACTTAACTTGTCAACAAAATAGCACACAGAAGCCCACACTCAAAGGCAGCATTTCAATTGTTGGTCAGTGAGCCTTGAGAGAGCAGGGAGTACCTGTGTATTGGTGTATGGTGTATATGCGAGAGAGAAGGTCTGTGTGTACATTTTCATGCATGTGAGCTACTATTTACAAAACATGGGTGTCAAAGTATGACCAGCATTCTTGGGGGCAAAACGATTCAACAAGGGAGCAAGGGGAGAGAGAGTCATGTGCTGCAGCCTTAGCGTTAGGTTGTCAAACCAAAGTCATTTGTCCAACGCGGCCTTGAGAGAATGTTATGGGGTTCATATGAGCAACATTGAACAATGAGTTGTCTTGCAATTTCTGTATGGAAACATCTCTAGCATTCACTCCTGTAGCTCACTTTCTTTCTATTTGCAAGAAGTGCTGCCAACCAATATGGACCAAAACCACCAGCTGAATTTAAATTAGGCTTTGTGGGCATTGAGCAGAAGCAGCCACATTTCACTCCATGCATGCTGCTGCACAGTTGTTCCTCCCTGTTGCGTGCATGCGTGTGCGTGTGTGTGTGTTTACTGCTAGGATGCATACTGTAGCTCCTGTCGTGTTCTCCAATTGCTTAAGGTTCTGTGCTGTTAATAAGATGTAACGCCTGTCATTGCACTAAAATCTTTTTTGTACCTGCATTGTTCAAAATGACTTTCAGACAGACATTTCTTTTAAAAATGTATTTTCAGATAGAATTCACTAAATCAACATTTAATAACAAGCTAAAATGTTTGGCAGGTTGGTTCACCGGAGAGGCCTACCACTGCTATTACTTTAAAACATGAAGCTAGGGCTGGGTGATAAACCAGTAATGATAATTATCTAATTTTCCTCAATAGAAACATAAAAAAAAAGGTTGATAATAAATTACAAACTGCCAATCACATTGCAGAAATAGAAGCATCTTGCAAGTTAGGTTTTAGATGAATTAGGTTAGATTTTATGATTACAATTGTTTTGAAAGTTCTAACTCAGCTTTGTTAAATGTTCTGCTGTTTGGCAAGTGTTAGTCATGTTCTGACCATAAAGATTAGTTCAAAACCACAATTAACCCTCTGGTTTAACTCAGCAGCAAAAATCAACCTTTAAACTGGAAAGTGTTTCTGTTGAGGATTCAGCATACAGATTCCTCTGTCCCTCTCAAACATATTCAGACCAGCTCCATCTGTTCAGGAGGCTCCAATAGGTCCTCATGGCCCTGGACCAAGTATTACTGACCTCTTAGGTATGTAACAAGTTCTCACAAATGAACCAAAAGACATGCACCATTGAGCTTTATGATTCAGGCCACTGGTGGAGTTCTGCCATACTGATTCTTCCTGCATAGTTCAAAGGTTATTGGTATTCCGACCACAGGCTGTTTGGAAGAGTCACTCTCACAAACTTCCAGTGATGTAGTTATGGTTTTAAAACTGTCTGTGACATTTAATTTTATTCTTATTGAGATCTTACAATTCACTGTAATGCTGTGAGTAATGATTATTTTCATTTCATATCAATTAATCTGCTGATTACTTTCTCCATTAATTGAGAATTTGTTTAGTCAAAAAGCAGAGAAGAAACAGCCATCACAACTTCACAAAGCCCAAAGTGACATTTTGAGATTGCTTAATAATAACAACAGTCCAACAATCAAAGATATTTCACTGACTATCATTTATAACAAAGCAAATCCTCACCTGAGAAGCTTGAACCAGCAAATGTTTGACATTTTTCCTTGAAAATTACTGAAATGATACTCAAAATAGTTTCCACTAATCCATGAATCAACTCATCATTGCAGCTCTACTTGATTGGAGTACTGTCACATGCGCACAAGCTGTTATTCAATGACAAATCACTGACCAGACTGTGACTGCCTTATACCCCTTTGGTAATTGATCTAATCACATGAGTCAGATAATACACTGTTGGTGAACAAATGCGCTGTTTTTGTTCTTCTGATATGTTATTTAGACTGAGCTTTAATGGAAGTTAAGGTTCAATCACTTCGCAGAAAATGAAAATATCTTCAGATTTTTTCCTCCTGGTTCCTATCCAAGGGAAGACCGAACCTCTTGCCCAGCCTTACTGCTAAATGGGTGACGTAATACCTGCCTGGCCTACATGAGCTCAAATTACATTGTATGGAGATGGGTCAATATTAAGCTTATAGATTTGTGTACAAGATTACACATCAGGTGGTCGTTTTAGTGTGTCACATGCCTCCTTGTAATTGGAATACCACCTTTCATGTGTGGTTTATTAATAAATTTGACTTTGCTGTTGCTTTTAATGTGTTCAGCTTCTGTGCATCATTGTATCATTGGGTTGAAACTACTTGAAAAAGAGGTGCTAGTAATAATCTCTGAAATTCCCTTTTTATAACTATAATTAACTGTTC